GCCAGGGTGTCAAGATGCAGGTCTTGCTGGCTGCTACCTCACAACACTTGGCGGTCTCTTAGTTCTCCCCTCCAGCACTCTGACCATCAACATCTCCGTTACTTCCTGTGGTCTGCAGGCTCACTCATGTGTTATTCATTCTCAAGAAGAAGAATACACCTCAAGTAACAGCGTATAGAAGTTTCTTCAGCCCTCTCAGACCTGGTGAGCCAGAGAGCTTTAATAGGACTGGAGACTCAGCTAGGTGAAGACCTTTGCCCAAGGTCACGCAGCCATAGCCAGTAGTGTAAGGAGGCTCATTTCCCACTATGCCTTGGGGGCTCTCTCTTGTCCAGTCCCACCTCATCCTCATCAGCCTATTTCTGACTCCTTGGCTTTGCTGCAGCTCAGCCTTGGCTCAGAATGCCATCCCTCCCCCTTTTCTCAGTCATCGGCCAAGGATCAGAGGAGATCCCACGTCCTCGGGAGAAACACGTCTGTGACCACTTCATTCCACACAACCTTGTCCCTCTGCTGATGCCTTAAAATTTTTTTTCTGAACTTTATTATAAGCATCTTTTAAAAAATTATTTTTAATGTTTATTTATTTTTGAGAGAGTGTGTGTGCCAGCAGGGGAGGGGCAGAGAGAGAGGGAGACACAGAATCCAAAGCAGGCTCCAGGCTCTGAGCTGTCAGCACAGAGCCCCACACGGGGCTCAAACCCACGAACTGTGAGATCGTGACCTGAGCTGAAGTCGGACCCTTAACCGACTGAGCCGCCCAGGAGCCCCTATTATAAGCATCTTATTATACAGATCGGGATTTATTTGTTACCACTTCACATAAAAAAGCAGACACACAATTTTTTAAAGACTACTCAAAACAGTCCCTGGGGTAAGAATCAAAAGGCTACCACTTGCTAGTTATGCAATTTTGTTAATTCCCTCTTGGAGCCTCACGTTGCTCAGCTCCCACTGCCAAAAGGGGCATGATCTTATCAAGCTCTTGATGGTAGGGTTCTGGAGAGGATTAATAGAGATATTGTATGGGAAAATGTTTATGGTAATTTTCCATAGGAGTTCAGGAAGCCAAAGGCCTAAAGGAGTCAGGCAGCTAATGTAAAGGAGGGGAGGAGGCCAGAATGAGGCAGTAGGGGTTGGTGGGGACTACTGTGCTTGGGGGCAAGTACCCTCTGCACAGACAGGTGTTGCTCAGCTGTGGCCAATTACAGTTATGTAGGAATGAGGACCCAATACTGCTGGAGTTTAATTTTCCAAGAGAAATCAGAAGTAAAGGCTTTTGGGTGGCTCAGTCGGTTAAGCATCAGACTTTTGATTTCAGCTCAGGTCATGAGATCATGGTTCATGAGATCGAGCCCCGAGTTAGCTCTCTGTTGACAGTGAGGGAACCTGCTTGGGATTCTCTCTCTCCCTCTCTGCTCCTCCCCCACGTGTGTGTGTGTGTGTGTGTGTGTGTGTGTGTGTGTGTATGAGAGAGAGAGACAAAGACAGAGACAGAGACAGACAGAGATAGAGAGAGAGAGAGCAAGAGCACATTCTCTCTTTCTCTCTCTCAAAATAAACAAACATTAGGGAAAAAAAAGAAAAAGAAATCGGGGCACCTGGGTGGCTCAGTCGGTTAAGCCTCTGATTTCAGCTCAGGTCATGATCTCATAGCCGGTGAATTTGAGCCCCACTTCCGGCTCTGTGCTGACCGTTCAGAGCCTGGAGCCTCCTTTGGATTCTGTGTCTCCCTCTCTCTCTGACCCTCTCCCACTTCTGCTCTGCCTCTCTCTCTCTCTCACATAAATAAACATAAAAAAAAGGAGAAATAAAGACTTTTTATAATATTTCTTAAGGTTTGAAACATTGTGTTTGCCAAATACAGCCCAGAGTCTTTCTTATAGAAAGCCAATTTGCAACTCTGCTCTATGTACATGTATATTGTTTTAAACTAGAGCAGACATCTGGATTGGGTCCCTCAGTTATTTTCTCTTCAGTGTTTTCTTCACTGTGTGCTCTGTGGGTCTAAGGTGTTTAACCTCACCCCTCCTCAATAAGATTGTAATGTTCCTGTGGGCAGTTAACATTTTCTGTACTCAAGTGTCACTCAAAGGAGTTTAATCATCTTGGTAAATGGTACTGCTTGTTAGTCTCTTCATATGGCTCTTAAATTTCAGCATGAGTCAGCAAATGCCTGAGCTGCTTTGTTAATAATGCCGATTTGCCTTATCAATTCTCTCCAAAGTATACCCCCAGCAGAAATGTGTACATCTATCCATCATAAGACATGTACTAGAATGTTCAAAGCAGCTCAGTTCATAATAGCTGCCTACAGAAGTCTACCCAATTGTCCATCAGTATCAGAATAAATAAAAAATACATATTCACAGTAAAAATTGATACAACAATGAAAATGAATAAATTGCAACCACATGCAAAAACGTGGGTGAATCTCACAAATATAATGTTGAACAAAGGGGGCCGACAACCTAAGAATACGCAGTGTGTGTTTTCATTTTATAGAAGTACAGAAATCGGCAGAACTCACTCTATGGGGTAGAAGTCAGGATAATAGCAGGATAACTCTTGGAGAGAGGCGGGGACACAAGGGGATTCCAGACACTTCTGGGGTGCCGGCAGTATTCGTGGTTGCACGGGCATGTGACAATTCACTGGGCTGAATATCATTTATACTTTTCTGTACATCATCGTCTCAATGGAAAGCTAACGCGCTAACGTCAGGGCTCCACCCCACGCTGACAGAATTGCATCTTCCGCGGGGGTGGCTGGGAGTCCCCAGGCTCTACTGGTGAGGTCATGACATGATTTCCTTTTTGAGAAACACGCTGCACTTGAACGAGCACACATTTATTCCTCCAAGGGGCTTCTACAGGCACGCTGGGCTAACCCATCCTGCAAGAGCATTTCCCAGTCTCTCTTGTTGTGTACGACTACATTTTACTGAATGCAAAAAGTGACATAAAATTAAGAGGCACTATATGTACATTCACAGGCACTTGAGGGCATAAAGAGAGACAGCTCTGATAATATGCCAGCTTATAAAATATGGCTAAATACAATTAAAAGTTTATAGGGTGACTAAGAAGCCATATCCGCAGGGAAAAAGTCAAGCATTCACTGCTACCGAAATCCAGCTGAATCCTGGTTTCCCTGGGGAAGGAGATGTGGGTGGAGGCCAAGAAGCTCTGGAGCTTTCCTGGAAGGAAAAAGGGAGGTTCTGTGACTGAGGGAGGGACAGGGAAGGACCAGCATGGTAGGTGTTTTTGGAGCTGCACTCTTGAGCTTTGTTTTTGTCAGTGTGGGAAAGCCGAAGCTCAGAGATTTATCCAGGTCACATTTATTTACAGTTTGTGCTCTTGCATTTAAGAATCCAGAAATAAATTGGATGTCAGAGGGAAACCAAAAAGGAATCTATTAATAAGCTCCAGGAAGGCTGAGACTGCATATATGAGCTTCATTTTTGGATCCCCTGCACCTGACACCATGTCTGGCAGATAAGAATACTCATTAACTTCATTCATTCATTCATTCAGCATCTAGTTATGGAGTACTTAGTTTAGGTTAGGCACCATTCTTAAGCAGTTGAGACAAATAGAAGTCTCTCACCTCAAGGAGCTTATAGTCTAAATGATGGGAGATCAGCCAATTCATCAGACAGATAGATTCATCACTATGTTCCATAGTGGTCAGTTCTTTGGGAAAAAATAAATCAGAGAAAAAGAATAGAGAATTGGAGGGTTGAGAATTGATGCAGTTATACCTGGGGAGGTTGAGGAGTCTTACTGAAAATTTGAGCCAAGACCCAAGGACGATGAGAGAGTAAGCCATGTGGATATGTGAGGGAAAAGCCTTGAAGGTAGAGGGAACAGCAAATGCAAAGGCCCTGAGGCAGGAATAGGCCTTGTGTGTTTGCAGATATCAAAGAGGCTGGAGTGGTTGCTCAAGAGTGAAGGAGAAAAGGTAATCACCAACAGGTAATAGGGCTGCTGGATCATTTGCTGTGAGGACTCTGGCTTTAACTCTGAGAGACTCAAAAGCCGTTGGAAGATTTTAGATACAGGAATTACATGATCAGACCAAATACTGATTAAATAATTAAGCATGGCACTGTACACACCACAAATGACTTTAACATACATTACTATATTTGATCTTCATAATGACTGTAAGATATAAGAAGAAAAAGAATTCTTAGCCACATTTTCAAAGGATTACATTATGGAAATTAACAGAACAGTCTTTGGAGATAAACAGATCTAGGCTTGAATCCTAACTCAGCCACGTAAAGAGCCAGGACTTTGTGCAAGAGTCAGCCTCAGTTTCCCCATCTCTGCAGTGGAGGAAACAACACTACTGGGAGAGAGGATTGGATAGACCTAATAGACATGCCTAGACACTGACTAGACATTGACTAGACATGCCTAATTCAGTGTCCAGCACACTTTTTGCTCAACAGGTGACATCTGTTGCTACCCTGTCCAGCTGGAAGTGGTTGTAGGCATCATCCAACTTTGAGGACCTAAGAGACAGTCTCCAGAAAGCTGCGTCAGCACCTGCCGGGGTAAATACACAGATTCCTGGGCCAATGCCAGATCTACTGAGTCCTAATTCCATGGCTTTGGAGCCTCATCTCACCAAATAAGAACTTAAAGTAAACATATCACCACAGCAGAGGAGGTTAAGGCAGCTCCAATACAATAACTGAATACATTGTATAACCTCTCTGAACCTCACTTCTGTCACATGCAAAGTGAAAATCAAGTTCTACTACTGAAGTGGTAGCAACGATGCCTGCAATGCCCTGTTGGCTCTGCCTGGAATGCTCTGAACACTCCATCCGTCAGCTCTTGGCTAACTACTAAGGAAGGTTCTTAAAATTACATTATACTTAAAATTAACTCACCATGAAAAAAATCCATTTGGAATACTTTGATTCTTTTTTCACTTGAAACAATCAAAACTTAGTTTAAAAGAAACTCCATATCCTAGAGTACACTGTGCTCACATCAGCATCATGTACACTAAAACTAGAATGATACAGAGAAGATTAGCATGGCCCCTGTTCGAAAAGATGATCTGTGTACCACCCACGTCAACCTGCGGGTTCCCCAAGGCTACAAGCACAGCTTACTTGGAGAATCACTGGAAGGGCAGCAGGATGTAAAGGAAGAATTTTAGGATCCTGTCCCCTGCTGACACTTTTGTCTCAAGGTTAGGGCAGGTGCGTAACCTGTTGGCCAAGGGCACAGAGGGGGCAGATGAAGACAGGGTCTGGCTCCTTCCAGGAAGGCTTTAAATAGACACGTTGGTGCCACGCTCTGGAACATTTACACAAGGCGGGAAAGCTCGTTGCGCACAGGACTACGTTTGCCTACGGAGACCCGGCAACCGGTTCAAGTGGTTGTCAGGCTGTAGAGCTTGGAGTCTACAAAACAGAACAGGCCTGCAGAGATTAAGATTTATGCTCTAGGACTGCAGGAGCGCTACTTCGAACCCACAGTTCACGTGGATTCTTGGCGGACTCCTCCTGGGACCTCTTGCTTTTCCTTTGCCTTCTTGGGTTAAAGTTACTCAAGTATTTATGAAAAGGGAGCCTCATGTGTGGCTGAGGTCCAGCATAGTTCAGTGCAATCAACTTGCACTGAGTCCTCAAATATGCTACAATACTGATTTTGCTATTAAATAATTGAGCAGGGATTGCAGAGAACCAAACAGAATTACTACCACTCGCAACCTACCTTATCCCATGAGCCATACTAGAGACTTACTGTTAACTTATGCATGGTGATTCTATAAAAGGGGGTCTCATTAGCCCCATAATAAAAAAAATTTTAATGTTTACATTTATTTTTGAGACAGAGAGAGAGCATGAGTGGGGGAGAGTCAGAGAGAGAGGGAGACACAGAATCTGAAGCAGGCTCCAGGCTCTGAGCTGTCAGCACAGAGCCCGACATGGGGCTCGAACTCGTCAACTGCGAGATCATGATCTGAGCTGATGTCAGATGCTCAACTGACTGAGCCACTCAGTTAGAATATTACCTCCTCTGCCAGCAGGTGACATAGCCACGGTGGGTCACTAGCATGAGGCTCCAGTTGTCCTGGGGAGAATGTGCACAAACCACCTGGTACAACTGGATAGAGTGTTGCTAATCCACTTCCCTATCAGTAGCCTGTAGTTAATGCCCAGTCGGTTGTCAATTTCAACTTTGAAGGATAGTCACTTAATCAGGTAAGCTGCAGATGTAAAAATGGTTTAGCAGACCCTTGAAACCAAGGGTCTCAGATGTAACATTTAGTAACACTGATATGAACATAGTGCTTATATATGCCAGACACCACTGTAAGTGATTTTTCCATGAGATAACTCATTTAACCTCTGAGGAAGAGTATCCCCATTTTACAGACAAGGAAACAGAAAAGTAACCTAACCCAGGATCATGCATCGACTCGGTGGCAGAGTTTGAATTTAAAGTAGGACAGGATGGGGGCACCTGGGTGACTCAGTTGGTTGAGCATCCAACTTTGGCTCAGATCATGATCTCGTGGCTTGTGGGTTCGAGCCCCATGTCAGGCTCTGTGCTGACAGCTCAGAGCCTGGAGCCTGCTTCAGATTCTGCCTCTATCTCTCTCTGCCCCTCCTCCACTCATGTACCATCTCTCTCAAATATAAATAAACATTAAAAAAAATAAAGTAGGACAGGATGGCTTCACAATTTTCAGTCTCCATGAGTTAGTTCTAAGATACACAGCATGGAGTCATGCATCATTCTTCAGAGCCATGCGATGAAATCCTTTTGCTATGACGGGCTTTGTGCACAAAGTGAGACATTTAGCTAGTGGCTGAGTCCCATTCACTGAGCAATATCTGAATCTTAGAAAAGTTTTGCTGTTTTCTAGTTAACCTAATGTGGACCTTTTAGGGAAAAATTATATGCCATTGTATGTGTAATAACTATGATGTTTTTGAAGACAAGGAACAAAAATGCCAACTAATAGTAGCTTTAAAACTGAAGGCAATGAAGCCTTTTCTCATACAAGAAGAAGTCTGGAGATAGTGGCTCATAGATCCTCAACATGTTGGTGATATATCTCCTCATGGTCCCAACATAGTTGCAGCAGTCCCAGGCATCACATCTCCACACCCCCTCATTCCAAAAAGAAAAGAAGGTGAAGGGGGCAAAAAAATTTCCTCTTTTTCTACAGGAAAATTATTTCCTAGATGTTCCCTTCCTTCCTTCCTGTCACATTTCATTATCAGAACTGTGCCATCTGTCAACTCCTAGACCAGTATTTCTGAAACATATTGGGCCAGATTAATTCTCTGTTGTGAGGGGACCATCCTGGGCATTGAAGGATGCTTATCAGCATCCCTGACCTCTACCCACTAGATGCCAGTAATGTATTTCCGGGTATGACAACCCAAAAATGTCTCCAGAAACTGCCAATGTCCTATGGGTATATGAATATGTGCTTGTAAACTTGACCAGGTTGAGAACCATTGCCTTAGATGAATGAGTGGCAAAGGGAAATGGGATAGTCATGACTGGCTTAGACCAGTCATAGGTCATCCCCCAAGGCTAAGCACCCTGCGGCCTGAAAAAAGTTCTACCTCAAGGAAAAAGCGTAACGGCCGTGGATTTGGCAATCATTCCCCATGTTGCTTTTTCGTTGTTAAAATAAATGTTCTTTATTGGAAAGTCCAAGCAGAGGACTGAGAAGGACATTTTGTCTTCTTACAACCAAGAAAGCATTCATGAGGCATATCAGGAAGAATCAGGCCATAGATATGGGAGTTTTGGGGTGCCTGGGTGGCTTAGTCGGTTAAGCTTTCAACTCTTGATCTCAGCTCAGATCATAATCTTGCAGTTTGTGGGTTCAAGCCCTATGTCAGGCTCTGCACCAACAGTGTGGAGCCTGCTTGGAATTTTCTCTCTCTCTCTCTCTCTCTCTCTCTCCCCCCCTCGCTCTGTCTCTCTCTCCCTGCCCCTCCCCCACTTGCTTGTGCATGCACACTCTCTTTCTCTCTCAAAATAAATAAAGTTGAAAAAAAAGAAATGGGAGTTTCATTGATATCTACTCTGTAGGTTTGGTGGCCACAGGAAAACAATCAGAAGTGAGAGCAGCCATTCTTCTTTTTATTCAGAACACTTACACCAAACTCCCTTTCTTTGAGGGCATTCCTCATTTTTTCTTGCCTCGCCTCCCTTTAAAAAAAAGCCAGGGGCACCTGAGTGGCTCAGTTGGCTGAGCATCCAACTTTGGCTCATGGAGCCTAAGTGTGAGTCCTGCATGGGACAGTCTGCTGTCAGCACAGAGCCTGCTTCAGACCCTCTGCTCCCCTCTCTCTCTGCCCCTCCCTACTCTCAGTATCTCTCTGAAAAATAAATGAACATTAAAAAAAAAAAGACGGGCTCCTGGGTGGCTCAGTTGGTTAAGCATCTGACTCTTGGTTTCAGCTCAGGTCATGATCTCACAGTTAGTGAGTCCGAGGCCCAGATAGGGCTCCAGGCTGACAGTGGAAAGCCTGCTTGGGATTCTCTCTCTCTCTCCCTCTCTCTCTGCTCCCCCACTTACGCTCTCTGAAAACAAACAAACAAACAGAAAGACAAACATGTATTTGTCCAGGGATAGTTGGTAAACAAGGACTTCAGGTAGAAAATTCCTGTATTTGTTCCTCAGTTACATGCCTGGGACATTTAAAAACACATGCTGGTTAGAGTATAACTGGCCATTTCATTCCTAATGTGAGAAGAGCCTCCCTGTTGTAAACGCTGGAGGGTGCAAGTCTTAGTGACAACAGCCAGCCTGTACTGAGGACTATCTTCTGGTGCTCTGGGAAACGGCTGGACGTGGATGAAGCCTGTGTGGTAGGAGTCCCGGGCTCCATTCTGTGGAAGAGCCACAGAAGCCCAGTGACGTGCCCAAGGTGCACAGCCGGTAAGACAAGGGGCTAAGCCCTGGACTCGGGCGGCTAGATCCATCCCCTTTCTTGTTTTCAAATCAGTTTCAAAAGCAATGATTACGGACGCACCTGGGTGGCTCAGTCGGCCGAGTGTCCGACTTCGGCTCAGGTCACGATCTCCCAGCTCATGGGTTCGAGCCCCGCATCAGGCTCTGTGGCGACAGCTCAGAGCCTGGAGTTTGCTTCAGATTCTATGTCTCCCTCTCTCTCTATCCTTTCCCTTCTTGTTCTCTCTCTCTCTCAAAAATAAATAAACATTAAAAAAAAAAACCCCGAAGATTATGGTTGTGTTAAGCCAATGTAAAACCAAAAGAAAACCTATCTTCTTCCATTCTTAGTGCTAAAAGCTAGTGAAAAAAATTTTTTTTAGAAAGCAGTAAAGAAATGTCTCCCTACCCTAAGATACACAGTGTGGACTTTTTAATTAGTGTTTTCATAAGTGAGAGCCTTTAAAACATAACACTCATCCCAATGTTTCCATATTTAGAGCAATCTTTTATATTGTTGTTGCTATTTAAATTTTTTCTTATTAAACATGTTTACAAAAATGTAGAGAGGGACTTTGATGAAAACCACAGTCTGAAGAACAGTTCTTTAAAACCCAGGGAAGTCACACCTGCAATCCTTTAAGTCCAGACAATGTTTTCTAGCTGAAAGTTCTGCCTCTCATCTTCCACATACAACTGAAAGTCTAAAAATAGATAGTGTGAGGTTGAAATGACCGTGGGCAGTCAACTTGACAGAATTTACTGATGGTTTTCAAACAAGCAATTTGAAAAGTTTGGGGTGGTTTTTGTTTGGTGTGTGTGTGTGTGTGTGTGTGTGTGTGTGTGTGTGTGATCATAAAATAGATTTTTTTCATTTCATCTCTTTTCACTTCATTTCTTTCACTCTCCTTTAGCCATAAAAAAAACAAAGAACCTTGAAAATTCTCAAGTGGAACCCCAAGTGCATTTTTACAGAGAAAACCCAGGATCAATATAAAATTACTGACATTAAGGGGTATAGACTCTGATCAGGGCTGAAAACTAATCATAATAAAATTAAATTCTGCTAGTTTAATCTCCTCCCCAGCCCCAAACCGTGGAGGCATAAAAGCTTCAGCAATTGATTCATTTTCTTTTACTCAGATACTTTATAATGA